TGCAGTTGTGGGTGAACCTCTTCAGGCAGACTGTACAGCAGAACGGCTTCTCCCCGGTGTGGGTCATCTGGTGGACCCGGAGGTCCGAGGACTGAATGAAGCCCTTGGAACACACAAGGCACTGGAAGGGTCTCTCTCCTGTGTGTGTCCTCCGGTGAAGGTCTAACTGCGATTTGTAGCTGAACCTCTTGCCGCAGTCTTGGCACTCGTAGGGTACCTTTCTCCTGGGTTCTTTGCCAACAGCGTGACCAGTGGGCTCCATGGTGCTTGACGCACCCACTGAATTGCACCCGTGCTGTCTGGTGACTTCTCCTCTATCCAACGACATGGCTCCTTCTTGAGGCTCCTCTTGGGGCGTGGGAGTGTTGTCCCTTTTTCTCTTGGTGGCACCTCCTGGATTCCCAGAACCTCTTCTCTTTGGACGCTGACTCAAAGCCTGTGTCTCCGGAGCATGGGTGGGGGGTACGTCACTGGCATCCACACGCTCTAGACCAATTCTTTCCAGGGGGTTCTGCTCCCCCTCTGTCTTCACCAAGTCTCCTGAAAGAAAGCATTCAACACACAACATTAATCAAAGAGCACTTTCAACTCAGCTCATGGACTGAGCATCCACCCAGGAACCAAGAGGTTGCCACCTCCACTCCCTGTCAGGGCACATACCCTGGTTGTGGGGCTCGACCCCCGGTGGATGCCAGGCAGAAGGCAGCCAATCGATTATTTTCCCTATCATCCATGTTTCTATCTCTCTCTATCTCCCCTCCACTCTCTCTAAAAATAAATATATTTTTCTATTAAAAGAGCACTTTTAACACTAACAAAGGCCTTTGAACCAAAGTTGATGTAGGTTGTAAAACATTCCCATCAACCAACAAACCCGAGAATTTAGACCTTAGGGCACCCAAGAGTCTGTGATAGAGAAGGCTTGGCATTGAGAGCCAACCGTCCCCAATAGATGACCACGCTGGATGCCCAGGTGGGGACCCAGCAGAGGGGGCATCAATAATGAAGCATAGTAATCTCTATTTTGTGAAGCTGCTGTTTGAAATGCTCTGCTATTTTCAGAGAGTCCCTTGTTCTGTAAGTCAACTCTGCCATTTTTAGAAGGTCTTTGATTCTCTAAATTAACTTTGTTTTTTAGCTTAAATAATAGAAAAGATAAACCTAACTGTCTGACCTGGCAAACTAGCTATCAAACCTAAGGGGCTGAGAAGCTGATACTGATAATATTCCCATGTCAGGTGTTTGTTAGATATGATTCCTACTCAAGACTACAAGCTGTCTGGAAAAATAACTTACAGAAGGACTTAGAAGGATATTCAAAAAAGGAATACTCTTTCCTTTGTTTTCTCAGAATTTGACAGAGATATTCTGCTCTGAGCCTGCATGTCATAAAGACTCCTAACCAATTGGTTCATTAAGGCGTCTTGTCTCTAGCTCGCTGATTGATGACACAATAATCATTGCTCTACAAGCCCAGTTTCCATACTCACCAGGACTGCTGGGAAGTGAAGGCTCTGGAGATGTGAGTACTGCTGCCTCTTCCCTGTCTTCCATCACATCCTTCTCCAACTTCACCAAATTCTCCATGGGCCTCACAGCCTCCAGATCACTTTTCTTGAGAATCGCCTCCAGCAAGAAGACTCTCTGCCCCTGACATGGGTAACCAAGGGGGGTTAAACGTGTTTGAAACCAGGGGTGGGAAGCTCCATCCCTCCTCCCCCCGTCCTGTCCATCTCCCTGACCTTAGACCCCAGCTTACCTAACACCACAGTTTTGTGGCTCTGCCTAGACTTCCTTGGGGCCAAGCCCATCACCCCCAACTCCCAAGTCTGTCCCTATGTGGACCCATCACACCTTTACTTCAAGCTCATACATGACATTCCTTACACTTTTTGTTCTTGTTGTTGTTAATCCTCACCCCAGGATATTTTTCCCATTGAGTTTTAGAGAGCAAGAAGGGGGGTGGAGAGAGAGTAGAGCAAGAGAAAGAGAGAGTGAGAGAGAAAGACAGAGAGAGGTAGAAGGAGAGACAGAGACATCAATGGGAGACACATATTGATTGGTTGACTCCTGCAATCACCCCAACTGGGCAGGGAATGGAACCTGCAGCCCAAGTATGTGCTCTTGACTGGGAATCAAACCCACAGCTGTAGCAGCTATGATCACCACATCCACTAGTACCAGCTCCCACCTGTCCCCACAGATCAGGGCATCACACACTCACCTGTCCCCACACCACGTCACTGGTTCCTGGCTGGTTCCCCGGCTCTCTGTTGACATCCTGGCTCTTCCCAGGATGTACCCCCGTCTTACTAATGGGGGATTGGTACTTCATGGACAATTCAACACGTGGTCTGTGTCACCAACTTCCTCGTCAGGCATCTGGACATCAAAATTCTCCTCAAGATACTTCTGTCCTTGGAAGGTGACAACCTTCTTTGGGGAGAAAATTAAACAAGATAAGACCCGGGATGTGTCCTACTTCTTGCATGTGTCCTACTCAACACTCACACTTTCAGTGGAACAACACATGGATGTTTCCCTCTCTCCCCCTTCCTCATTCTCTACAAAAAAGTGATTGTTTTAATCAATCAATCAAATACAACCTCCCAAATGGTGGCAACCAACATTGGCAGAGGCTCCCTGGAGAGAAAGGCGCCGTGCCTGCACCTGGTCTGTGCCTCAGTTTCCCCACCCCTGAGGCAGAACCGACAAGTCTACCCCCTGAGGTTATTCTGAGGTCATTGGGATAGTGAGCCTCAGGACGGGAGATCAAATATCAGAAGATGTCCATCTCAGGAATGCTTATGCAGCCTGGCCGCCATTGGCTCAGTGCCTAAGTATCTACCTATGAACCTGGAGGTCACGACTTGATTCCAGGCCAGGACATAACACTGGGTTGTGGGCTTGATTCTTACTGCAGAGGCATGCAGGAGGGGCCAAACAATGATTTTCTCTCATCATTGATGTTTCTCTCTCTCTCTCTCTCTCTCTCTCTCTCTCTCTCTCTCTCTCTCTCCCTCCCTCTCTGAAATCAACACAAATATATTTTAAAAATAAAACACAGAAAATTAAACACTGCCCATCATGAGGGTTCCACTCACCCATTTCCTGGGTTCCTTCTTCTTATTTCTCAGCAAGACCTTCAGTTCCTCGAAGCTCTGCACCCGCCTCTCCCGCACCAAGACCTGCAGCTCCAGGGGCATGCAGGTCATGAACTTCTCTAGCAGAAGCTTATCCAAGATCTGCTTCTTGGTGAGCACATCCGGCCTCAGCCAGCGATGGAGGAGCGCAGACATTGTGTTCATGCTCTGGAGTGGGTCCGCGTCCGTTGGGTGTTGGAAGGCTCTGAAGAGCAAGTGCCACTTCTCAGAGTCCTGGTGCTGTTCTTCAGTGAGGTTTCCCTGGGGCGGTCCGGCCGGTGTCAGGTCCCAGCCCAGGTTGCCCTGGGGGTGCCCATGACCATCGAAAAATGCCTGGTCTGTAGCCATATTCCCTGGGAACGTCTCTAATTGGACTGCAGCAAACCCAGCCTGAAGTCAGCTCCTGATGGAGAGCGACTGGAGGTATGGACTCAGTAACAGGTTCACAGTTCTGGCGGAAAGAGAGGAGAGAAAGAGATGGGTTTCACCTCCTGATGCACCCAATACTAAACACCCCTCACTGGTCCCATATTGAGTACCCTGGAAGTTAACCTATAGTATTCTTCCTTTAAAAGATTATTTCATTTTATTGATTTTAGAGAGAGAGGAATGAAGAGGAGAGAGAGAAATATCAATCAGTTGACACCTGCAGGCACCGCAATGGGCATGGAGCCTGAAAGCTGGGCCTGTGCCTGACCAGGAAACAATCCAGTGATCTTTGGTTAATGGGTCGACACTCAACAGCTGAGCCCCACAATCTATTTCAATAATAAAATCAGCGTTTAGCTTCTCCTCAAGACAAGATTCAGGGATCTGGCTGGATAGCTCAGTGGTTTAGTGCATCGTCCCCCTAGGCCAAGTTTTCAGGTTCCACGTCTGGTCATGGCACAGCAAGAGTGAACCAATGAATGCAATCCTAAGTGCAACAACAAATCTCTCTCTCTCTCTCTCTCTCTCTCTCTCTCTCTCTCTCTCTCTCTCATCATTATCAATTTAAAAAAAAAGATAAGGTACAGCAATTCCATTGGTAAATTGTAATCACTGTTTGGTCATGATTCTATAGGAAAATACAGAAAACAAATATTTACAACCTGGAATTCTATGGAATTTAATATGTTGTAAATATTAAGCTATGATTGTCCCCCAACATTTTCTACTTTGTTCCAGCCGAGGGACAGCAAAAAAGAACCCTAAGAGAGCCCTAGCTGGTTTGGCTCAGTGGATGGAGCGTCCACCTGCGGACTGTAGGGTCCCAATTTCAATTCCGGTCAGGGGTACATGCCCAGGTTGCAGGCTCAATCCCTAGTAGGGTGTGTGCAGGAGGAAGCCAATCAATGGTTCTCTCTCATCATTGATGTTTCTGTCTCTCACTCCCTCTTCCTTACTCTTTGAAATTAATAAAGATATATCTTTTTTTAAAAAAGAACCCTAAGAGAGTTAAACTCCTACAGATATTGTGTTATTGTGGCAAAATGCACAACCTACAATTCACCACTTGAACTCCGTTTTTTTAATCCACATCCAAGCATAAGAAGAGAGAGTGAAAAAGAGAAAGATTTGTCTGTCCAGGTATCTATGCCTCCATTGGTTGATTCTTGTATGTGCCCTGACCCGGTGCTGTAACCGAGTGGGCTATGTAGCCAGGGCCTAACTCTTTTTTAAAGGGTTCAGTTTCGGGTCTCTAAGTGCCTTGGAAAGGCTGTGGGACCCTCCCCACTGTCTGGGTCCAGAACCTCATTTTCGTCACCACAAAAGGAAACCCTATCCCACCAGGTTCTCTGCCCCATCCCCCACCTCCTGCCCTCATTCACTGATCTGTTTGGATAAATGGATTAATGGGTCTCATATACATAATCTCATCCCAGAAAAAGCTCTTTGAAATATTCAGGAAGCAAGATTTTTAATGAGAAAAGGTTCACCCCAGCTGGTGGAGCCTTGGCTCATGGACTCAAGGATCTATGTCAAGGGCACGTTCCTCAGTTGCAGGCTCAATTCCCGGCTTGGAATGGGGTGCGGGCAGGAGGCAACCAATCAATGTGTCTCTCTCACATGGATGTTTCTCTCTCTCTCTGCCTCTCCCTTCCACTCTCTCTAAAAATCAATGGAAAAGCATCCTGGGAGAGAGTAACCAATAATAAGCAGAAATGTTCCCAGGCCCTAAGGGACCTTCCACAGGCCAGAGCCACGTCCCAGGATTCTCCAGAGTCCAGATCCCTCTCAAATGCTGCAACTATGAGCACAGGGCCGCCCAGTGTTCCTTCCACCACAGGGAGGGGACCCACCTGAAGGTTAGGGCAAGGTCACTGGAGAGTCAGGAGGGTGAGATAGGAGGTGAGGTGTGTGTGTGTCTGTGTGTGTAGGGGGTTCCTAGAGTTTCCTGTGTCTGGAAGGTGGGAGCACATATGTAACAGCATGAAGCCATGACTCTGGGGATTGAGGGGTTTCATGTCACTGGAAATCTGGGATTGGCCTGGTCAGTCTAAAACGTGTGGGTTCCTTTCACGTTGAGAAATCCATGGGGAAACAAACAGAAAATCAACACCAACAACAAAGACAGCCACGGAGCCACAGAGAAACATGAAACCAGGGCCAGGATATGGAAGCAACTGACCAGCCATGAATAAGATGCTGGGATCCAGCGGAGGTGGTGCCTGTCCGCAGGGGAACATTACTCCACCATGAAAAGGATTGGAATCCCGCCATTTGCCGAGGCTGGAAGGAGCCCGGAAGGCGTTATGCTGAGTGAAAGAGGCCCGTCAGAGACAGACAAGTTACCCCAAGATTCCCCTTCGATGTGGAGTCTACAGAACAAAGTGAATGACAAACACACTCCTAGGCACAGGGAACGGACTGATGGCCGTCACAACCGGGTCTGAGGGGGGAGGGAAGGGAAAGCACTTCAAGGTTCCCTAAGAAGCACCCCCATCGCACCCCCCAAAACAAAAATGAATCCGGTCAAAATGCCAACAGTGGCCTAGACTGAAAAGCCCTCATTTAAAGTAGAAACCCTGGCACCCCTTCAGCCCTATGCCTGAAGGGGTGCCAGGGGGACCCCTGGTGTCCACACGATCTCAGAAATGATCCACCGCCCACACACCCGGGTCGCTCTGAGACCAACATCCATGCATCCATCCCTCCATCTGTCCGTCCACCCACCCATCCATCCATCCATCCATCCATCCATCCATCCACCCAGCCATCCATCCATCCACCCATCCATCCATCCATCCATCCACCCATCCATCAATCCATCCATGCATCGGTCCTCACTCCCTTCCAAACCCCCGGCCTTGGACGCCCTCGCCCCACTCACCGCTTCCGCAGCCCCCGCAACCGCAGCTCCTGCAGCGCAGACTGGCGAACTCTGTGCCAAGAGCTGGACCCGCCTGTTTATGTACCCGCTCCGGGCATCACTTCCTGTTCCCTCCCAGCTCTGTGATTGGTTAGAGACCAGGGTTGATCCATTTTTCATAATCCGTTCACTCATGGCTTCTGGGAGAGAAACGTCTGGGGCGGAATAGGGCGTGTTGGCTGATGAGCTGCTTAGCACGTGTCTGAATCGTTTGAAGGAACCAGACACGCAGACCAGCCCTGGCAGGTGTGGCTCAGGGTTACCAGCGCGAGCCTGGGTGCTGAAGGGTCACGGGGGGTCGTGGGTTCTGTTCCCTGTTTGGGCACATGCCCTGGTTTTGGGTTCAAGCTCAATAGGTTCAATGTTTCTCCAACCCCTCTTTCTCTCTCTCTCTCTCTCTCTCTCTCTCTCTCTCTCTCTCTCTTTCTCTCTCTCTCTCTCTCCCTAGAAGTAATTAAAATAATTTATTTTTTTTTAAATAAAAAAGCCGCCCTAACCGGTTTGGCTCAGTGGATAGAATGTCAGCCTGCGGACTCAAGGGTCCCAGGTTTGATTCTGTTGAAGGGCATGTACCTTGGTTGCGGACACATCCCCAGTAGGGGGTGTGCAGGAAGCAACTGATCGATGTTTCTGTCTCATCGGTGTTTCTAGCTCTCTATCCCTCTCCCTTCCTCTCTGTAAAAAAATCAATAAAATATATTTAAAATAAATAAATAATTAAGTCCAGCCAGTGTGCCTCAGTGGTTGAGCATCGTCCTATGAACCAGGAGGTTACCGTTCCATTCCTGGTCAAGGGCACATGCCCAGGTTGCAGGTTCAATCCCCAGTATGGGGGGTGCAGAAGGTAGCTGATGCATGATTCTCTCTCACCATTGATGCTTCTATCTCTCTCTCTCTCTCCCTTCCTCTCTAAAATCAGTAAAAATCTATTAAAAAAATAATGAAGATGATAAATTTCTTGTGACTTGTATTTTATCTCAACTCAACAATGTTAACTTTCTTTTTTTTATGTTAACTTTCTTTTTATTGTTGACACTATTACAGGTGTCCTCATCTCCCCCCCCCCTTTGCCCATCTGCCCCCAGTTCCCACCCACCCTAACCTCTGGCCATCACCACAGTCCGTCCTCTCGCAATCCAGGATTCAGGGGATGTTGGAGAGCCGGTTTTGTCCCGATCCCACAGGCCAGGCCAAGGGACCCCACTCGTGCACGAATTTGTGCACAGGGTCTCTGGTAAATACATCAAAAGATACAGGGTGGTTGAATGGGTCATAAAACAAGACCCTCACGTGTGCTGTCTGCAAGGAACTCCCTTCCGCTTGGAAAACACGTAGATGGAAAGTAAAGGGTCGGAAAGGCGATTTCATGCAAATGGAAACAAAGAGCTGGGGTAGCCAGGCTTGTATATTGGACGTAGGAGACTTGAACCCAAAGGCTGTCAAAGAGACACAGCAGGACCTAGCCTGCCCGTGTCTGGGTCCTTATCTGAAGACATGCAATTTCTTTTTTACTCTCACTGCTGGAATAGTGACGTCATGGGCTCATCTGGTGGTGGACAGGGGCCCGGTAGATGGAGACACAGAATGCCTCCCTGTGCAGGGAAGGAAGGAAGGAGGGCACGGGAAAGGGTGAGTCTGGACCTGTCCCCTGCCTGCCCCTGGGGCCAGGAGCAGGGCAACATACCCCACAGCCTGGAGACACACAGAGAAACTGCCCACCTAACTAACTAAAAGTGATTTCTCCACCTACCAGTCCCAGGAGGGCATCCCCTGCCAGCCAGCGGCTCTCCTGTGTATAATGACAGAGATGCAAAGTCTCCTTCTACTCCTCAGGTCACCTCTCTCCACGGGTCTGGTCACTGTTTGCACTCGGCCAGGGGCCCTTTTATTTTTTATTTATTCTTTTTACAGAATATTTTTTTTATTTATTGAAGGGAAGGGAGTTGGGGGAGACCCGAGCCTCGAATTAGCCGTGACCCAGGTGGGGCATGACTTTTCCTCATCACTTTGTGACCACACTGCGCTGCGATGAGCAGGGGAGGCGGGGAGGCCTTCGAAAGGAGAGGAGACCCTCTTTCCAGGTGCCAATCGCCCTCCCTGTGTCCTGGTGATGCCTGGCAACTGGGAGACAGGCCTCCTGTGCTCAG